CTGTCTGCTTATTTGCTAAAAGTACCTCTAAGGATGCAGAACATGTAATGGATTTATAAGAGAAGCTGCTTCCCTGCTCTAGGGTAGAAGAAGGAGCAGGGGTGGGCTGGAAGTTGGAAATTCCCAACAATGTGGCATCTGGTCAGATATTTGCATCTGGATTTTCTACCAGAACAACTGAGAAGAAGAAATAAAAAGTAAATTATTACATGGCTTTCATCGCAAATTTAAAAGTGATGTCAAGTGGCTGGCAATAAAAATATATAAACAAGTATAAACATATAAACAACATTTAAAGAGATCAAGAAGAGATTTAAGAAATTATTTAACCTTTACATTTTATAATAAGGACGAAAACAAATGTACCATGAACTGGATTCATTAATACAATTAGCATTAAACTTGGCTCTCCTGGAAACCAAAGGAAAAGAAAAACCATATGTATGTTTATGTATACTTACACATGGACATGTTAATGTATATTTTATATAATAATATATAATATGTGCATGGTAATATAATTATACCTACATACTAAGATATATTTATACATGCAATATATTTACATACACACATATATATTGGGTCATCAGGAAAGTCATGAAGCATTTCTACATAGAAAAACACGTCATGCAACCCCAGTGTCCACGAACAGATGAATGGATTGAAAAAGTGTGGCTCATACACTCCATAAAATACAATTCAGTCATAAAAATTAAAACCCTAGCATTTGATAGAAAGTGGATGAATATGGAAGATTTATTGCTGAATGAAGCAAGTCAGGCTATGAAAGAGAGACATTGTATGTCTCCAATTCACATATACTGACTGTCCACACTCTATGGTAGAGACTGAAAGACTGGAGGGCTTAAAAACATTGAAAATAGCTATGAACACTAGAGACAGCATGGAAAGCAGGTGGGAGAGGGAAAAAATATAGGGAAGGAAAATAGGGGGGAAATAGAGAAGTAAGACATTCGTGGGACACAGAAATGGTTTATTACCTGTTGATGACGTATATAATATTCTCAACTGGACAGGTCTGAGGTGTATTGCATGTTGGGTAAATTCTCTCTACAGGCTAAATGATATATATAGCAATTGAGTGTATAAAGTAATAATCTTTTTTAATTTTTAAAGAAAAAAGGAGAATGAGAATGGCCAATAAGGACTAAACCACTTTGAAGATTCTTAGTGTACATTATGGAAGTAGTTATACCTCTCACTACAGACCTAAGTTTGTTTTCATTCCTACCATTTTCTAAAATAGTAGGAATCACAATTAGATTTTTCTGTTGGAACCATGCTCCTGTGGCCCTAGTCAAATATTTGGGTTATCCTTTCAGTTGGTACTGTATTATAATCAATAAAAAGCAATTTAGAAATTATTTTAAAAAAAGGAAAAGAAAAACATGTCATGACTTTCCCAACGACCTAATACTTTTCCTCCTCTGACTAAAGGAAGTATTTTCTTAATTTTATGATAAATAGCTAAATAGTGTTCATGTTAGTTTATAAGCCATTTTATAATCCATGCATTGATCTATTTTCAGACCAGACATTTTCAGTAAAATGCAAGTAGATCCCGGTGAGGCCTCTCTTAGCAAAGATTCCAGGAGTTGTGATGATGTTTTGTTCTGATTGTGACATGTGATTATACAGAATGCTCTCACACATCGGAGGAATCACCAGCATGTCAGAGTTGCCAATTCGGGTCGTTTAATTACGATCACTATACGAAGTTCGTTTTCTCTTATGTTTCCAACTAACCCTGCTAAAGTTCATCATGAAATGTAAAACCCTGCAACATGTTTCTTATGCCAGAATGTTTTAAGCAATATTTAAATAGAGAAATGAGGAAAGTTTTGAATCTTGAAAGAAATATATAGCTATATAAACAGTCAGTTGTCACATTTACCATTAACATTCTCTGTAGTATCTGTTTAATTATTATTTTAAGGGAGTGAGTTAGGCCACTGAAGGGCTTTATGTATTCATTTATCTCTCCCACAAGAGAGAAAAAGAGGACCCACAGCAGGGTTTTCATATATGACCCACTCCCAGCCTGGGTCACACCAGGCCCTGGGCATGCTGGCGTGCTCATCATGTTCAGGGAGCTCCCAGGACATGACCCAGTGAATCCAGGCATGTTACCGTGGCATCACCACCCAGGGCAGAACTTTGTATTATATTACATATTTTTGATGCCTTTTGAGTTTGGAAATATCTGCCTCCTTTTCTTTTAGCTTCTACTCAGAATTCAAACAAAATTGAGTCATTTGTTGAGGAAGACTGGCCTGGGTATAGGGGTGGAGGAAGGCATATCTGAGACAGGTCTGGCAGTAAAGAAATGCTGAAAATACAAGCAGATCTTTTTCTCTTCAAAACCAAATAGTCCCCATCACTTAAATTAGCATTGTTAGCTGCTAAACTTGGGAGTAAATAACTGACCTTTAAGTTAAAAAGACTAGAAAATAAGTCAGAATCCCACCCCGGTATTTAGGATTACCCAAGGCAGATGTCCCCTGAGGGAAGGACACGGAGGTGATTCATGGTGGAACTAGAATAGCGCTAATACTGCAAAGTCTCTCCTGGACGCTGACGGCTTGACTCCTGTGCTCGTGGGCCCAGCAGTTACGGCAGACCAGCATAGCATTCCAGGAAAGGTTGTTAGACTTGCAGAATCTCACTCAGACCGACTGAGCCTGCCTCTGCGTTTTAACAAGATCCAGGAGGATGTTTATGTCTGAGCACACAGACAACCACAGAGAAATGCTCCGGACCGGAATGCAGGGGCATCAAAGTGTACATGGAATGCACTCCAGACCTCAGAGTCAGCGAGCCATGTGAATTTTAAGTGACTGCAATTGAACAAGGACATATGGCACTGCTGCACTGGGCTGGGGGAGAGGGAATGCCATGGCACAGCCATTGTTTGTTTGTTTTTAAAAGCAACAACAGGGCCAGCAGGTGGCATGCTGGTTAAGGTGCTGGATCCCATCTGGCCAATATGTAGTTCGAGGCCTGGACCTGGTGACTTGAAAAACATGCCAGTGGTATGTGCATGTGTGCCCAAGAGGAGAATGGAAGAGAAGGGATTGTGGTGTGATCATCCCCCCCCCCCAGGGGGGGATTTCTCACTTTCCCTCTCTATCTCTCTCCAAAGAGCACACATGCCCGACAGCAAAAATCTTTTAAAAAAATAAAAATAATAAAAAGCAACATTTACAAGCATGTCAGGGTGTCTGAATGTCCAGTGGGTACCTATGCAACCTCATCCCACCCTCCAACTCCCCCCAAAAAAAGAACAAAAGACAGAGAGCCAAATCCTGACTGTGTCAGGTTATTCCGGTGTAGCCACAGCCTGTACTGTGAGATAAGACCAAAGAACAGTGGTTTTGTCAGCCCAGAAGAGTGACAAGTGAAGACAAACACCTGCCCTCCGGTCGACGGCAGCCTCAGTGATAACTGACTTTCTCTTGAAGATATGATCCGAAGCACATTGATCCCACCTGTGGACTTGAAAAGCCATTCCTTCAGCTCCCTTCTGCCATGTTCGGGCACCGTCATGCCCAAACTCGCAGGGAGAAGTGCCTTGTGTTTGTAAAGTCTTCCAGAAGAAAGACCCAAAGCCTCCCTTGGACACTCAAAAGAGTCTGTAACAATGCTGCTTTGGGCTGGGCGTGAGCAAATTCTTCCTCGTGCTCAGCCTAACCCTTACCCCTGACGGTTGGAGCTCATTATGTTTCTTGTCCTGTCATCAGTGTACACTGTGCCCCTAATTGCAAGATATTTCAGTGCTCTACATATGCAGAGGTGGAATCCAGGCACGACACACGGTAAGTGGAACAAGACTCAAAGCGCAGCTGCTGGGAGCTGCCCAGCCTCAAAGCGCTCCTTGGATGAAAACTTCACTGGCCACTACGCGAAGCCTGGCCCCGTGTTTGAACGGCCAGAGGTCGCCCTCTAGTGGTTCAAAGGAAGAACGGCCTCAAACTGCAGAAAACTGGAACCACAATTCTGGCTTTGATCAAAGACACTGAGGGCTGTGGGTACAAGTAGCTCCAGAGCCTTCTCAACCGTTTGACCTTCACCCTTAGCTCAGCCTGCCATGCGGTTGCGTAGGGCAAATGAGATGGACCAAAAAGAGACCACGTGGCTATGGCTGGCAAACCTGGAGAAAGAAATGCTAAACCAAACCAAATACAAGTTCATGCCAGGTTTAGCAATGAGTAGGTTACTGACGCGTAAGCTGGAAATTGCATGTTTTAAGCAAATGCAGGTGAATGCTATGCATCAGGATTTTCTGTGATCGTTTAAGGTGAACAATCTGAAATAGCCCCTCCGCCTATCCCCCATTGAATCGAGGGCACCACACCCAGAAAAGTCAGTCCATTATAAGCATAGGCAACTGATGGAAAGTAGGTATGCATTAGGCATTATGCAGAGACACAAATGCATCTTAGGGCCACATTGGGCTGCCAGTTTGTGGCTCAGCGGCATTATCTGTACCTCCTAAGTGTAGGACCGGTCAGTGAGATCGTTGTGCTCCCTCATGGGATTTTTCTGCACTGTCGTTCTTCTAGTAAGAGTAAACTAAATGCACATTACATCTGTAAGGTGTCATTGACCATCACAATTTGAGCTATGAACAAATACAAAGAGAACTGATTCCAACGCCGTTCCCTCATCACCACCACCGGTGTCACAGCAGACATGCAGCCTGTCCCTTCGGAATGACCTGTGTATGACCAAAAACGCAGGTTCTAATTGCTTCCGTGAGCTGTCGAGCATTTAACAAGTTTCTTCTGTGCCACCATGGCCAACCTTTCCAAAATGGAATGAAAGGACGCATTCCATAATTGTAAACCCTCAGCAAATACTTGCGCTAAAGTAAACAGTTACTGAATCATGGTGAGCCTGCCCAAATATTTGTGCCACTGTTTGAATTAGCTAGGCTTCTCCCTAGGCCAATTCTTTGAATGACACTCATGGGAAAACGCAGGCTCCCCCAGCCTTCTGCCAGGGGAGGCTTGCACACCTCTAACATCCCCATGTGTGTTCTCAGGACCCCAGCGCCATGCCGAGACCAACATCCCAGGACCTGGCCGGGTACTGGGACATGCTGCAGCTTTCCATCGAGGATGTCAGCATGAAGTTCGACGAGCTGCACCAGCTGAAGCTCAATGACTGGAAGATAATAGAGTCACCGGAAAGAAAGGTAACTATGCCCCAGTGTCATTTCCCTGAGAATCTCAATTCATTGGCCTCCTGCTATTTAATCCAATTCAGAAATGATCTCCAAATACTGCATGGTCATAGGTTTCCCAGTCTTTAGTTAACAACACAGGGTTGAGTTTTCCTGTTTATGAGGGGCCCTTCAAAAAGTTCCCAGAAAGTTTATATCATGAAAAAAAAGTATATGTGAATATTTTAAAGATTTATTTATTTATTATTTTTTAATTTGACCAAAGAGAGACTGAGAATGAGAAAAAGGGAAACTGAGAAAGCAAGCTGCCAGGTCTGGGACTCAAAACACAGTTGACCCTGTGGGAATCCAGCAACACTAACCATTGCACCACCTGCTGGCTCCTTGGCATAGATTTTAATGTTCTTTCTGCACCAACATGAAATTATACTTTAATTTCATTTTCCATGTACTTTTAAAAGTCTTCTTGTACACATATGTCCATGTGTGTGTACACACATGTGTGCATGTTTGTATGCATGCATATACAGGTGCACAAACTGAGGTAGAATTGAAGTCTTGGGCAGGTATAGTAAATCACAGTGGTTTTTTTGTTTGTTTTTGTTTTTGTTTTGTTTTTGCTGTATTGCTTGTACGTAGATAGCTCAGAGAGATTCCAGCCCAAATCATATGTTAATCCACAGACCCATTTCTTGTAGGCTTGGAGCCTGTTTGTACTTTTCATCAGACTTTGCTTTGGTTGTATTAAGACGCTCTCTTATAGGGAAAACTGTTTTAGTTCTGGTTATAACAATTAGCTCTTTTATAAACGTATCTTATAGTTGTATGTCTAGAGTTAGAGACATGACAATAGTTTAAATTGTACTGAATAGTTTGATCACAAAACCTTCCTATATGTCTGTCAGCGTCAGCCCTTACCATTAGGCGAAAATTCCATTAAATTTGAATCCTGGTGTTTCACTCCTTCAGCAGAGCTGGCAGAAAGGTCTGGGTTAGCAATGAGTATATAGATTTCCTACCACACAGTTTAGAAAAGTTCTGAGTAATTATACTCTGATTTTTTTCTAGATAGACATTATCAATTAAAATGGTCAAGAAAACAAACCTAGCACACTGGGGAGATGGTAGATAATATATTGCTGTGAACATGTACCTGCATAATTACCTGCACAATTAGAATCAAAGCCCCCTATACGTTGTCGTCATCATCTACTCCCCAAAAACTGCGCTGGCTGAATCCTGACGTTCAGGCTAGTTGACTTTGATGCCACCTGAGGCGACGAAGCATTTCCTCTTCCCATGGACAATGGAAGAGAGGCATAGGCATGCATGGGACGCTTGTAAGCCCTAAATGGGATGTCAACAAGAACAAGTAATCTATGGTTTGGGGTTTAGGTGAAGGCGATAAGAAGTGACCCTCCCAAGTGAAAAGGCTGTGCTAATGGATTCTAGAATAGAACTTCCTTGAATTAGTACAGATGCATGCAATAATCCTTTCTTGTTTTCATTCCTCGGTAATTGAGAACTCAGATACACCCATTTACCGAGCTATTCTTACAGGCTGATTCTCAAAATGCAGACAGATTCTTGCTGCGGGTATTGCACCCGCAGTCCAGAAGTGGACTTGAGTAGATCTGAAGTTCCTTGTCCTGAAGAGTAGCTCCTGTCCCCTTCAAGCACATTTCTTAAAACCCCATTTCTGTGGCTCTGCAAGACCATCTGTTCTGTGCTCTTCTGATACAGCATGCCTAGAAGCTTTAAAGCCCCTTTGAAAGGGGAAATATTAGGGCCAGCAGATAACATAGTGGATATGTTGCTGGACTCCCACATGGCAGACTGTGGTTCATGTCCTGGACCAGGTGGCTTGAAAATCATGCTGGGCCCATGTGTGCGCATGCCCAAGACCCAGGAGAAGAATGGGAGAGAAGGGATTGCAGTGTGGCCATCCCCCATGGAGGGGGGTGAGTTCTCACTTTCCCTCTCAGTCTCCCTCCCTCCCTCCCTCCCTCTCTCTCTCTCTCTCCCTCTCTCCAGTGAGTTCAGGTGCCCAGGTGCCCTAAGGCAAAAACCTCTCAAAAAAAAAAAAAAATGGGTAAGGGCCAAGGCCAGGGGCCAGGGCCAGGGCCAGGGTAGGGGCGGACTATCATAAAAAACATTTACGCACATTTCTTATAGTCCCATGTGTCAGAGGCTACCAAGAAAAGAGAGAGAAAAAAGATAAGTAAATACAGTGATGTGCTTAATAGAGGAATTACATTTTTAAATAGCTGAAAGGGTTCAATGAATTAATTATGTCATTGTTTTAAGTGCATGCCAAAAAAATCAAGGGACATTCATTGCTTCTGGCCTCGGTTATTGAGAAATAAGCCATGAGAACGAGATTTCAAACACTAAAACAGTCCTCCTACCGAAATACTATTATTTAACATTGGGATGTTCATCCTGGATCCCACAAGTTCTCTTTTCCCCCAGTATCCAAGTACATCTGGCTCCTTTTGGATTTTTTTGCACAGAATGAAAAGAGAAGGACACGAGGGTAGGATTCTAGAGGTTTTCCCTCCAATAAGCAGATGTGCTTAGAAGAGAAACAGGGTCCTTCCATTGTGTGCCCTTCTCTGGGAGGGAAATAATTGGCCCTGCAGAATCCCTGTCACAGCTCCATTAGGGGGCAGAGTGGGGCGAGGCCAGCCTTGTTATTTGGAGACATTAAATGATACACAGAGTTTCGGGAACATTAAATGGTGCCACAGAGTTTTGGATACAACCCTTTCACTGGCACAGTTGTGAGTATTGCATATTGCATTTGTGGTAGGAATGTGAAATTAAGCTTTTGAAAAAAAGCATATATATAATTTGGTGTGGCATATTTGAGAAAATAAGCTAAGAGTAAAATAATTATTTGCATCTTTTTAACTGAGGAAGTGAAAAGTAATTATGTATGTAAATACTGTTACTGTCAATAGTTTAGGTCAGGGCCAACAAGTGGCATAGTGGTTAAGGTGCTAGACTCCCACATGAATGACTACAGTTCAAGTCCCAGACCTGGTGGCTTGAAACTCACACTGGATGCATGTGTGTCCGTGCCCAAAATCCCAAAAGGAGAATGGAGGAGAGGGGATTGCAGCATGGTCATCCCTGTAGGGGTTGATTTCTCACTTTCTCTCTCTGTCTCTTTAGTGAGCACATGTGCCCTATACAAAAAAAAAAAAAAAAAAAAAAAAAAAAAAAAATAACTATCTAAAACATATAATTTAGGCCAATAATAGAGAATTTGGCCAACAATTCCCTGGGACGTTACCCACGTAATATGGTTCCCATGAACATATTTGGAACCCCAGAGTCAGTTACAAAGGCTGTAGCATGCAATAACAATGTCAAGTGACAGTTTCAAAACCACCTGTGACGCTCAAGAGCCACTGCTCAAAGATGACATCATGCTTTGGAAAGCATGGGAATAAAGGAAGTGTTAGTCTAACAACAGTGTCCAAAAACAATCAGATAAGGCGATGCCAGATGTGACTGTCTGGAATTTATTCCCTTAGTTGTAAACACTATCCCAAACTCACCTGCTGCCTTTCAAGAACTTGAGGGAGCTTATAAAAAAAAAAAAATCCTTTTGCAAAAGGAAAAAACCATTACTGCTGGAGTCAGGGGCCAGGACCAATTTTGAGTAGGAAATGCCACCATGTGCTTGTGACCAAAAGGGAAATACTGCCGACCCCAGTGCGACTGAGTTCAAGTACTGTTGGTACTCTGCTCTGACCATTGAACAACTGTGGCTTGTGATGCTTTGCAGGAAGAAAGAAAGGTCCCCCCTCCAATACCAAAGAAGCCCCCCAAAGGGAAATTTCCTATTACCAGAGAAAAGTCTCTAGACCTGCCTGACAGACAGCGCCAGGAAGCCCGAAGACGGCTCATGGCTGCCAAGAGAGCAGCCTCCTTCCGACAGAATTCTGCCACGGAGCGAGCCGACAGCATCGAGATCTACATCCCGGAGGCCCAGACGCGGCTCTAAGATGAAGGCGGCGACGTTCACCTTTTCATTTATCTTTTCTTTTTAACAAAATGCTTGTACAGTACATTGCCTACCTGGTCATTTTTGTCTCATTTCCTTCACTGAATACACCCTTGCTGTCGCATTCTTTGTACCATTAACACAGTGGAATGCTTTGATCTCCTCCGTTTGCTGAGCCCAGGGCAAGGATGAAATTTTTCTTTTTTTTTAATTGATGGCCTGACTTACAGTCAACTCTGATGGAAAATCTTGGTGAGACCTAACGTATCCTCCATATTCTCAGAGGACAAGAAATGCCTCTTGAGATGGAGCCCAGCTTACATTTTGTTATTTATATTTTTATAAATGATGTGGTCATTAGAGATAAGAATAACAACTATAAAGGGTGCATCTCACCACTCACTAGAGGCATTAGACCACCCAAGTGGAAGGTGCTACGACTTGAAGTACAGGAAGGAAAGCCCCGTTGTGTTCTTCCGTTAACCCCCACTTACTTTTCCCTGAGTGCAGTTTTGACCCATCAGCCCATCTTTGCTATCCGAGTCCTCTCTGTAGAAAACGTCCAGTTCCTTCCATCAAGTTTATGGTGATGAAAAGTGATCTCTCCAACCACCAAACTCCCTGCCATATGGTTCTGAAAAAACACAGGGGATTACAAGTGTGAACCCATTAAAAATACCCAGCACAGTATGTTCTACCCATTCAAAACATAAGCTGAATGATCCCACAGGGAAGCAATGAATGAAAGAGGTCAGAGCCTTCACAAAGGCCGGGAGTATAAAGAGAAAAAAAAAAATTGTCCTTCTATGAAATAATCATTGTGTTTTTATTCCTATGTAATTTAAGATATTACACACGATGTTTCCCTTAAGTTTCACCATCTATGCTACATGTGATTTTTTTTATATTTGTATATATATATTCTCAAATTGCTCTATTAGTTGACTCTCCAGGGTATCCTAAAAAAACAAAACACACACACACACACATACACCAAAAAATAAAAATAAATTAAAAAAAACCCACACACAAAAAAAAAAAACAAAAAAAAAAACAAAAAAAAATGTTTGCTTGTTTAAAATGACAGTTGTGATGTTGTAAAAAGTTTAAGAAATATGAATGTGAGTGGTAAGTATATCTCAGTTTAAATGGTAAAGAAGAAACGTAGTTTACATCTGTATTTTTCCAAAATTCTTTTGTCCTATGCAGTACCGCTAAAATCAACAATCTATTTCTCGCCTGTGTTAGACATGAAGGGGGAAAAAAGGGGTCACATATTGTGATCGCCAGCCGTGGAACTTAAGAAAAGTCATTCTTTTCATGATTCTGATTGGCACCAGAAAAAAAGTAAGAATGACTCTTCCGTAGGCTTTCCTCGTGCAGAGTTCCATAGCCTCCACGGCTTCTGTATCGCAATGCGGATGCATCCGCCAAGGAAGAGCCTATCAGATTTTCCCATTTGATCCCAATCTCAAGAGTTCTCTCGATGACTCAAGGTAAAAAACAGGATTGCAATTTGAGACAGATGTTTCCACCCCAATACCAGGTCTTCCTTCACGCTGCTTTAAGAAGTTCCTTGTTGTTAGCCATAGGCAGAACAGCTTTTCAATTACCCTGTAGCACTTTGCTTCTCACTTTGATTTGCACTTTAAAAATGTACCCAGCTCCCTCTACAGCCTGACAACAGTATCAACAGTGTTCAGTGAGGTAGTTTGACAGTTGGGACATTCTCTACAACTGCAGTATTTCTTTTTCCTCATAGATTACATTCCACTGAGCATGGGGTTTGTTGGGAGCACAGTCAATATTAAAGCATGTTTAGCTTCAAAGTTTTACTTTTTTAAAGCTAACCAGTTAAGAATTCCCTGTAAGAACAAAACCCTGTAAATTGAGCCTCATATCTGGTATATATTTTACCAAACAGCCTTAAAATATATTTGGAAGCAAAAATCAGTACGAATGTATATCCTTGAAAAAATGCAAAAAAAGAAAAAAAAAAGAATTCCCTGAAATATTCTTCTATAATAAATCCTATTTCCCCAGAGTGTTCAAAGCATTTTTCTACCTAAATAAACACCTAAATCCTGAGTAGTCTACAATAATGATGCTTCTTCCTATATTCACTCTAGGTTAAAAGCAAATGTATTTGCAAGTATTGGCATTTTAGACTTTAAAAATGATGTACTCTTTAAGATGAACTGCTATTTAGAAATAACCACAGAAAAGCAAAGTCTGTGTATATTCCTAGTCAAAGGAAATGTAAAATGCATACGTGCACGCCACCTACTCACATATTTATACCTACAGGCAGCTGATGTGTTTTATCTTATTTCCTTAAACTTACACAAAACATATAAACACAAATTCTAAAACAAGACAATAATTACCTGTCATAGATCCTGGATTCTATGATCCCAACTTGAACAAAAGTAGTCACGGAATTTGGATTAAGTTTTTTATGTTTTATATACTCATTTTTATCTTATAATCTCAAAAGTCTTGGCCTAAACCATCCCTAGGTGAGTAAATTAATCTACCGCTAAATTGATAGTGGCCCCTGACTTAAAGTGAATGTGTATGTGTTTGAGCCACCATGTTCCAAAGAAGATTATTTAATGGTCGAACAGATTCCTTTTTTCCTGCTGCTAGAGCTGATGGAATGTTACCTGTTCATGTTCCATGATTAAGTGCAATATATCCAGTTCTCATCCAGGTGACATTCTATCATGAAACGCAGAAGACAAGCCATGTCCATGTATTGCACGTGTCACACAGAGCAAAACTGTTTATGATACTTGTGTTCATCACAAAGCTGGCTTATTTCTGTCTCTTTTCATAGAAATATCATATGGAGATCTCCTGTGGTCATTTCATCACAATTTAATTTTAATAAAAAAAATTATACCACAATGTGAGAAAATGGTTGAAAAGAATAATGCACAGTGTTCTAGGAACGTCATTATGGAAGAAAGTGTGCTATTCTTTCTCACCACACGCTTAGACGCTTCACGATACAGCCAATAACAGACGAAACTCAAATGTTCCTTTAGAAATCACTTTCTACAGAGCCAACAAGTTGATATTGCTGCACTAACAGCTCTAGTTAAGTGTCAGAAACAACACAAGTATAATAAACAGGATCCTCGAGTTTAACAAAACCGGGAAAAGGAGACTACCACTTGTTAACAAGGGCCTTTCAGTGTAATTCATCTCATGCATCTTCATTTGTTATTGTGTGTGATGTAAAAGCAGTTGTTAATGACAATTGTTACCACAATGTTTTCAGCCAATATCACCATCCTAGACTAGTGTATAAAGAATTGAACTATTGTATTATACCAAAAAAAAAAAAAAATTACGTTTTTGTTTCAAAGGAAATGTTGCCAATGTTTTCAACTCCAAATCAATTCTAAAGACTTCAAACATTTAATGAAAAGGTATGTATTATTAGAAAAAAAAAATACAAATTGCATTGAAGGTTATCTTGTTAGAAAAAAATAAGATAACTACAAAAATTAGCGACCCACACAGGAGACGGAATCGCTCCCTACTGGCTCTTATGGAAGTAGCCGAATTTATGATTAGAAGACAACATAATTCTAGAGTACATGAATGTATGGCTTTTGATCATTTCTCTGGGGTGTATGTCCCATCGACCCTGTCTTGATTTTTGCTTTTCCAGTACCATATTAAATAGCCAGTCTTCCCATCATTTTAATTAAAAGATCCAACATTTGTATATTCACTCACCTCTACTATTTTGCTTAGGTTCCTGTAGGCATCTTCCAACCTCAATTCGGCATGGGCTTTCACTGTAAAGGAAAGTAAAATTGCAGACCTGTGGTCAAAGTGCCTGTAGTGATATCACATAGATGTCTTAAAAATAGCTCTCTGATTTGGGCCAAACATTTTGGTGATGAGTAAGGAGTAGGGGAGATAATAGTCTTCACCAGGAAGTTGTAGCTGGATCAAATTCAAACCAGACCTCCTGTGGTTCTGAGGATTTGGAGATCATTGGTCCATTTTAAGGCAGATATGGCTCATGCCTGAGCTGCTTCTTACTAGGAATATCAGCCTTCTTCAGAATCCTGGCGGGTTTCCAGCATGTCCAAATGACCAGAACATCCCAGGCACCATGTCTGCAGCAGCTCAGACCACAGGTGGCAGAACTATCATTGCTCACGAAAGGAGAGGGACGCAGCAGGAAACTTCTAAGTGAATATGTCCAACGTGAATGTAAAAGTGGGGAGGGCGCCTATATGCTGCGTTTAGCCTAGATTTCTGAAAACTGGAATGGTCCTGCTTACAGTTACAGCATACAAATGGGTTCCCCCAAGTAAACCTGAATAACAACTCCATGTTCCATGTGTATTCGCTTCCCAGACATCATCTTAGGCTTAAACTTCAGTTTTGTTTTGTTTTCTTGTTCCCTGAAAATTTAACACACTAATAAGGTGTAGTTTAAAACAGTGGTTTTCAAACTCTACTCCACTGGAACTTTCTAAGAGTTTTCTCTTGTCATGGTCTCCATATGTATGTATTCTTCATTGTAGGTTTGGGTCAAATTCAGTGTTCCAAAACTTCCAAAGCAAATAGAAAACCACAGGTTTAAGAGATCAAGAATATAATCAATACCTGATTAGTAAGTATCTGGAACAGTGGAATTTGCTTCAGTCAGTATCCCCACATCACCTGTCATGAAACGAACCACGTCAGGTCAAATCGGATCCCTGTGCCTTCACAGCAAGAGGCCTGTCTTGTCACTTTAAGTGAGTTAGTAGTTGCAATAAATTGTGGGCAGTAAAAAAAGTGCTCAAGGAAAAGGTATCCTTTGACACTTTAGGCTGAGTATCCATTTGCACAGAGTGGCTGCTGAATAGTTTGGAAATGAGTGAGAAGTTGTCAGAAATCCCTAGGCAGTCAGTCAGGCTTTCATGTATTAGCCAGTCACTTATCTTAACTTCATGTCTCAGTTTTCTCCTCTATAAAGTGGGGATTACAGTCCCTGTCCTTTATTTCCCTCACAGATGAATTGGGAGGATTAATGACATATTGGCTGCAAAGTCCTTTGAGCTCTTTGGGAACAGGTGGTAAAAGTGTAAGTTATTATTGAGGATTATGTGCCCTCATCCTGTTCCTGAATGCTGTCCTCTCAGATGTGTGTGGGCTGTTTGCAAAAGTCGAGCCAGGTCATAAGTATCTCAAAGATAAGCAGGTTGGCTAGAGGCAGAGGCAGTGATCCTTTCTCCAGAATGCTGTCTTGGTGAGGCAGGAGACTGCAACTGAGCAAGCTCCTTGAAGGTGTGGAAAGGAGAAATGACTGTGAGGGTCATCCTCCTCTCCCTCTAGTTTTGCTTGCAAGTGATTGCAAAGGCTTCCAGAATAAGAACCAAGCGCTAACCAGAATTAGGCAAAGTTTTTAGCCTTACTTAAGTCCAGCAGCTTCTCAGATGGAGTGAATAAGGTAAACATTGTTGTGATGAAGAAGCAACATAATTTGGAAGCAGAAAACTGGGCACGTGAGGGAGTACCAAGAACGGGATCAGACATACTGACCCAAGTGGCTAAAGATCTATGACGTCTGCCCTCTCTTATTCCAGCTTCTCTCACTTGCTCTCACACTTCAGAGAATGTGGAAGTTGTCCATGGGAATGCTCCAAGAAATAACCATCTTTTTCATCCTTGCCACATTGAAAGTTGTTCATAACTTTATGAATTGCTGTCTGAACCCTGACATTTTTAATCCAGCATTAAGAGAAATTATTTCAAGTTTCAACTAAACACTTGACGGATGACTTCTTTCCAGACGAAATGTTAGTTACCTACTATAAAACTACTTTTTAAAAGATTTTGTATATAAACAAAGGTAACAGAGGTTTACCTCCCGACTTTCTTAGATTTTATGTGACTCTTCATCATTGGTGCTTATTCCAAACCTGAAAGACTTGGGAGTCCAAACTTTCACATATTCAATAGAAGAGAGGCGGTAATGATAGCAAAGATTCATGCCAGGTTTCTCATA